TCGGAAGGAAGATGGGGCAATCTACTTCCATAGTGATACTGCCTTGGAAATCCAAGAGGGGTCGCTATGAGTCGGGTCCGACTTGACAGCACATAACAACAACAACATAACAAAATCATTTCTCATGTAATTGCTGTATAGATCCCGTTTTAAGGACTGTATAATATTTTGAAGCTCTTTATCATTTTGTTTAACTATTTCTTTTCTGTTTTAGTTTTTCATATTTTTTTGCTATTGTGAAAAACAGTCCAATGAACATCTTTGTATACTTTTTAGAAAATTTCCTTAGTATAGTTTCTGGTAGCTTTAGATTCTTTTTTGAAATGAAATGGGGGTATAATGAATAAAAAGAAGATCCTTAGAAGTGGACTTATGAAAAATGTATGAACATTTTTGGAACTTGTAATACATTCTGCCAACATTTTTCCAAAAGTTTTCTTTTAAACCAGTTTACACTCCCATCAACAGTGAGTTTAGAGTGCATCTTTTACTACCTGCCTTTTAATTTTGGGCATTATGGTTTTTATACAAGTCTTTGCTGATTCATAGAGAGATACAGAGTATATTGTTTATAATATGCAAATTAGTACAGTGTTGAAACGATATTTATTTTAGACCTAAAATAAGTCAGAGTATACATATAGAGATTTGATACAAGTTTAAAATGTGATGTAGACTATTGGTCAAATATAGGCTATTTACAACTCAAAAGACTAAAAAGAAATCAGTCACTTTGGATAGGTGAGTTTTAATATTACTAAGTTCTTATACCTTTTAAGTGCCAAAATTTATTTTAAAATGATTTGTTATATAATCCTCTTTTTTAAAGAGTAGCGCTCAATAAAATTTTGATGTTTTCTTGATGCATTAGAGTTATCACTATGGAAATGAGGGATTATACTGTGCTTTCAGTGATTAGAATATGTCATAGACATGGTAATAGTTTACTCTGCATTCATTCCACACACTTATTGTATTGCTGTTCTGTACCAAATACTTTAAATAAGCTATTTCCGATTATTTTAGCAGCCTTGCACTGTCAAATGGTTAACTTTTTCAAGATCATGCAGTTATTAAGTAGAGCTCAATTTTATGGACTACTTTCATTTCTCTTTTAATTTAATCACACATGGCAATGTGGCTGTACCTTTAACAATTGCTATACATGATGTTGGCCCTAAATTATCAAAATAAAATTAAATGATATGCTAGATAATCTATTTCAGGCCCCAGATTTTAAGATTTGAAGTGCTTGTGATTGATTTTTTAGTTTTTATTTATCTTTCCATATTAATAGGTGATCAATTGTCACTTCTCACAGTTTGCCACAGTACACCTTCCATACCCCAACCCTTCAAATCCCTGTTGTATAATTGAATCTTGGGAATGAAATAGCTCAGCTTTTCAGAATTGTGTCAGATAATATGAAAAAGCACAAAGTGGAGGCCTGGGGTAAAATTAATGAACTTTATTTGGTACATGGACTTTGTGATGTATATTTTGAATACTTAGAGTCCTTTTAAGGCTACTTCCTGATTCTGGGGCTGTGTTTCCACTTTGGAGTTATGTGGCATTCTTCAGGCTACTGGTACACACAGCCATTGGATGCTGCACCGTTATCTTCCCGGCATGTAAGGAAAGGGTTAGTGAAAACTTCCATGGGTTATTCTTTGTAACTAAACAGTACTGACTTATATAGCCGTTTTTTAACATTTGTTCCATAAAATGATGGTGTGCAATTATAGTTATGAGCCTAACCTAAACCAACCCTTTACTCCTTTTTGCCTTAGATTTGTCATGTAAAAAATTGTATAATAGTACTAACATTCTTTTACTCAAATGAGGTTAACTGTAAATAATAATAGCGACTGGTCATAGTAGGTGGTCAATAAGTATCTAGTGAAGGAGTGAATATTACTACTGTAATATAATTATATAATTGACTTAGGTATGTAGATAAAGGCATAGTAGTTAAACACTTGGCTGCTAACCAAAAGGTCATCGGTTCAAATCCACTAGCCACTTTTCAGGAGAATGATGTGGCAATCTCCTTCCATAAAGATTGATGGTCCTAGAAACTCTAGGGAGCAGTTCTGCTCTGGCCTGTAGGGTCACTGTGAATTGGAATGGACTGGATAGAGTGGGTTCTTTTTTGTCTTTTTTGATACAGCTTTTTATGGCCACAACTCAGAGGATATCTTTGGCACAGATGATACCATGTGTAGGGGCCAAAGGAATCCACTAGATGGCATACCTTAACTTGCAGTATTTTCTTTTTTATATCTCTAGCACTTACTGCCTAGCTATTCTACTACATTGTAGACCCCTAAGTTATTATTCTAAATACTAACTTTCTAGATAATATAAAAATATCATGATTTATCTCTAATATTGATAACCACCCGTGGGAAAATTGTAAGGAGAAAAATATATCTTCTAATTCTTACTCAGAATGGGGAAAATAGAAGAATGCTTGATGGGTAGAATAATAGGTGAAGAGAGTGTAAAATATTATGTTGGCTTTTATTGCCTTCATCTTTTTTATATACATTTGTCTCTTTTATGTACATTTTATATACATTTATGCTCTTTGAAGACAGGAATATGTCACATTTCTTTTACATCACTTCACAGTGCCTGTTACGTATAATATAATGTTTCTGTACAGTATAGACTCCACAAATACTTTTGAGTGACTGCTCTGTGTACCCTCATAGTATCAGAGCTAAATTATTTTAAGTAGGGGAAGTGTCAGATATATAAACTCACCTTTCCATAATAGCATTTATGATTTAAAGGAGGCACCTTTGATTCCTAGCTTTCCCAACTAAAAAGGTAAAACGTACTGGCTAGTAAATCATTAGTGAAAAAAAATGTCTAATATATAATTGGGGCGCTCTGGTAACATAGTGCCTAAAGCACTTGACTGCTAACCAGAAGGCTGACGATTCAAACCCACCAGCCACTCCTCGGAAGGAAGGTTGGGCAATCTATTTCCGTAGTGATACCACCTTGGAAACCCAAGGAGGGGTCACTATGAGTTGGATCCGACTTGATGGCACATAATAACAACAAATATATAATTGAAGAGGAAGTTTCATTTTTTTTTATTATTTTTTATTTTTTTAACAAATGTACTGACTTTAGAAGTAATCAGATTGATGGCAGTTAGTTTTGAGGGCTAAATGTCATTATAACATTTTGAGGTTTTAAAGTGCAACACTGCTATGTATATTTCCAGAATATATTGTGAAGATAAACAGACCTTCTTACAGGACTGTGAGGATGATGGGGAGACAGCAGCTGGTGGGCGTCTTCTCCACCTCATGGAGGTAAGTGTAAAATAAGCCCCATTAATTCTGTTCTATATAAGCCATAAAATTTCTCAACAAAACAGAGCGCTGTTGAGGAAAAGTAAGTCATTTAAATTATATAACATAAGATACCTTTGGTTTAGTTAGTAATTAATTTGTAAACATTGAGTGAGTGTTTAACCACTGGCTTCACTCTCCCCAGTTACCCACAGTTAGAGACCTTAGAACAGTGTGAAGGAGAGTGTTGATTTTCCACATTTCTTTGTCCTAATATCCCACCCTCTGAGTTGTTAATAATCTCACTCATTACTTGCTCTTGTAGTTCTGCCATGAAAGTCACTGGAAAATTTCATGTGTGATTTTATATATATATATATATATATATATATATATATGGGTTACTTCATTCACCTTAAAAACTGTATTTGCACGTGTATTATATATGTGTATCTGTTTATGCTTTTGAAAATAACAGATTTTGAATGTGAGAAATGTCTTGGTGATAGTATCACGCTGGTATGGAGGTATTCTGATAGGACCAGATCGCTTTAAACATATCAACAATTGTGCTAGAAACATACTCCTGGAGAAGAACTATATAACTTTACCGGTAAGTACTTATTGATCATGTATCTAGAAAGGTTCTCATCACCGCTTATGAAGAAAACCCAAGAAAGAAAATTAAGAACAAATCAGAATGTGTGTGGTGCATTAGAAAAAGCTTTGAACTAGGAAATTAGTGATTCAGGTTCCAGTCAAAAGATTGTGACTGGCCAGTTGCGACCTTGACCAGATCATTTAATCTCTTTGAACATTAATTTCATAGATTCATAAAAAATCAAAACCAACTCACTGCCACTGAGTCGATTGCGACTCATAGCGACCCCCTTTGGGTTTCCAAGGTGATAAATCTTTAAGGAAATAGATTACCCCCTCTTTCTTCCTCAAGTAGCTGGTGGGTTTGTACCTCCAACTTTCTGGTTAGCAGTCAAGTGCCTTAGACACTATGCCACCAGGGCTACTTTCATAGATTCATGGAGTTTTATAATTAGAAAAGCATTTCAAGACCACCTAGTTTCCATCCCCTACCAGTGAGCCCCATAGAGTTATATAGCCCGTGTCACACTGGACTCGATGTTCTTTAAGAGCTAAAATTTTACAATTCTCTGTTATGGTCACACCATCTCCCTTTCCCTTATCATGCCTTTAGATGCCTTCTTCCTCATATTTTGAGTTAGTTTTGTTTCATATTTTAATACACTTAATCTATTTAATTTAAACTTTATTTACTTATTTTGAAAAGTGAACAGTAGATTAAATATATATGCAAACATTACACAAATGAACGTTTTCCTAGATTACTTTTGATTGTTTTGAAAATATTACTGTAGACTATAACTGAAAGTGTCTTGCAAAACAGAAGAATGATACACTTGGAAGTGACTATATCCACATCATTATGCATATTTTATATGACTCTATTTAAGATTTCCTAAGCCAGCATCTTCATATAAATGGGGAGAAACTACATTGATTTGTCTTTTTCAGGAGGAATCATCTAAGGCTGTGGGAAAGAACAAAAAAGTAAAAAAAGACAAGAAGAGGAGTGAACACTAATACCTGAAACTATATGAAAGGTTAATTTGCCTATAATTGTATTCAAATTACGCAGTCATCAAGGAATATATAGTGCAGTCAGAGGATCCTTGGCTGCTTAAGTCCACCAGTTCATTGTGGACACCAGTGTTACCATCTTTGGTTATATTATATCACCTGCCAAAAATAGAGAACTTATAATATATCCATGTGTGTTTCAGGCATTTGGAATAATTAATTTGAACTTAATCACCACTTCATCTAATTTTAAGAAGGAAACAGTTGCCCAGGGCAGCATGTGAATTAACTGTCCATTTCAGTTACATGTCAAGTACCTTTGTTAGGTGGGGAAGAAATGTCTCTAGAGGCATACAAGTACCTGATTTCTTGTCATTGGAATTCTCATTCTGTTAAATGAATATTGCGTCCTACCGCTCTCTATACCTTATTGGAATAGGAGCTCATTGAAGAATAATTTTGGAGAGTTTCTACTTGTGGTTTTAGTTCATAAGTATGTCACCTTTCATTTTATAGTGTACATCGCTGAGTAATACATTAAGTGAAAATCCAGGAGTATCCATCTGCAAATATGTGAAGTGATAATTCTCCTAACATATATGTTAGCATAAATGTTACGCCTCAATTTCTGTAGCAAATTGGTGATTGTGAAATTTTAAAAAAAGTGATTTCCTAGTCTACCTGCTTTGGGTTAATTCTTGTAAAGTAAAGTAATAAATATGGAGTATTAGTAGTCTCCTTCCACTCCAGCAATGTGTTAGTGTAACACTATGATTTCTTTTAATAACCTAGAAGTAACTTTCTTGTGCTCTTCCTTGAGAAATTGGAGCTATGCTAGAAGCTGTACTATAGTTAATGGGACGTTTATAAAATGGGATAGAAGTTTGGCAGAATGACACTGATACAGAGCAGGAGTATGTTGTATAGTTAAATAAATTTGATGCACACTGCCATTCCTACTCCAGATAATTTTGTCAGTTCTATGATTTTGTGGAGAGGAAGAACAACTTTTGGAATGAAACAACAAAGAAAATCCCTCTTCTTTCCCCAATCTGATCAGATCTTCCTTCTCATAAATGTTTTATTTCTTTCATCTGCAAGTTGTTCAGTTTACCTCTAGGCATTTAGATAATAGATTTACCTTACATATAATAATAAGTAATTCACTATTTCTTTTGAGATAGGATTGTAAACAATTATTAAGTAATAATAATAATAATAGTGATGGATCACACATTTGCCTGAGATTGTCTTCTCAAGCCAGGGAACAGAAATTAGGAGGCACTTTTGGGATGGCACTAGTGCATGGAAGGCATCAGGGAAAATGGGTAAGCACATGTTCTCTTCCTTTTTCTCTGATGTTTTTACCTTTAAAAGATTCAACATTCTTACTTAGTATTTTTAATAAAAATCTAATACATAGCCTTACTTTAGGATGGATTCTGAGAAATTAAATTATATTTGTTATAAGTGTATTTAATGTTGTCAGTTCTTAAGCGTCATCAGAGGATGACCCATATTACCTCATGTTCCATAAACTTAAGTATGTCCTATGTACTAACTGTTAAAGTTATTCAAAAAATTAGCCTATTAATTTTAACATAATTTTACAATTTTGGCATGTGAAAGGAGATATAAAACAGCAAGAATCTGGTGCTGCAGAAGAATATATGTGAGTTAATTTTTCTACAACATCAAATTAGAATGTCTTTCATGCTGTTTTATCTAGTACTTCTTTAGGTCTTTACAGAAAACAAAGCATCCTTTCTATCCATATTCTAATTTTCCCTTATTTTAAAAAAAGGAGTATTAATTTTGCATGTTTCTACAAAATTATTAACCATATTTTACTGACTAAAAATCTGATCTCTTTTGTCCCAAGTCAGCTAGCTAGGAGAGATTCAAAATTCTCCAAATTTTTAATCCTGAGTTGTTTCATACTCTACCATTATGGAGAGCCTAACTAATGATAGGTTTTTTTTTCTTTACTTAAAATTTCTCTTGATTAGAGGATTTTAAAGTTCTCCAAATAATTTTTTATAGCCAGATCTATGCTGTGGCATATTTTACAGTATATTCTATTAATTGAAAATATTATTTACATTCCAGTATAAAAGCAAGTAGCATCTACTTTTTTAAATGGGAATAGCAGTAGCTTCATCAGTAGTATGCTTTGGAGGTATGTGTCATGGAAGAGAACCTATATGAAGAGAATTATATCAAACTAATTATAACCAAGAAATAGCATGAAGCAGGTATTGTTTATAGGACAAGTGAAATTTATTGGGAGAATTGCACAAATTAACTGTAATCTCACTATCAAGAAATAGTCATTGTTAACATTTGGTATGTACATTCTTCTATTTTTCTCCTGTGCATGATTTTGTATATATGAATATTTTTCTTTCCACAGATATGGTATTAAATTGTATATATTGTTTTGTGTTCTGCTGTAAATTTCATATAGAAGTGTAATATTGTTAACATTTTCTCATGTCAATAAATATTCTATGGCATATTTTTTTGTGTGTAAGATATATATGTATATGTATATATACACATATATAACACAAAATTTGCCCTTTCAACCATTATTAAGTATACAGTTGAGTGGCATTAAGTACACACATAATGTACAACCATCACCACTCCTTGTTTCTAAGACTTTTCATCAACCCAAAAAGAAACTCTATACCCCTTAAGCAGTAACTCCCAGTTCTCCTGTTCCCCAGCCCTGATACCTCTAATCTACTGGCTTTCTCTATGTATTTACCTACACTGGATACCTCATGTAAGTGGAATAATCCAATACCGGTCCTTTTGTGTCTTGCTTAATTCACTTAGCGTGTTATCAGAGTTCACACATGTTATAGCATATATCTGAATTTCATTCTTTTTTTAATGGCTAAAATAATATTCCTTATTTGTATATACCCCATTTTGTTTTCTTATTCCATGATATAACTAGTTCCCACTTGTTTCCAATTTTTAAGTTACAAATTTTCACTATTTTAAAACACTGGAAAACTACATTACATTGTAATTATATTTTATATATTTTTGTTTATAGCTCTTGTTATTTCGTTAGGAAAAATTACTAGAAATTGGAATTTCTTGGTCAAGAGTTTCTACTTCTAATAGCTTCTGATTAGTTTAGCCAATTGCTCTGCAGAGAAGATTTACTAAATATACCCCTGTTAACATTGTGTTAGATACTAACAATACCAAAGATGTGGGAAAATATAGTCTGGTAGATAAAAGCCTAAGGTCTCTTTTTGTCGTGAAATTTTATAATTTTCACAAGAAGTTGCAAAAATAAGAGAGAGAGCGTCTATATGCTCACAAGTAAGCTTTCCCTAACAGTAATACCTTATGGAACTATAAACCAAAACCAAATCAAACCTACTGCCATTGAGTCAATTCCAACTTATAGTGACCCCCATAGAGTTTTCAGGGATGTTAATCTTTATGGAAGCAGACTGCCTCATCTTTCTCCCACAGAGTGGCAGGTTGGTTCGAACTGCTGACCTTTTGGTTAGCAGATGAATTCCTTAACCACGGTGGCACTATAGCCTCTTAAAACCAGAAAATATATTCTGGATACAAGTCTTTTGTCAGATATATGGTTTGCCAATATTTTCTCCCAGTCTGCAGCTTATTTTTTCACTGTCTTACGTCTTTTTGCAGAGCAGAGCAGAAGTTTTTAGTTTTGATGAAGTCTATTCATCTTTCTTTTTTGGATCATGCTTTTGGTCTCAAATCTGAGAACTCTTTGTCTAACTCCAGGTAATGAAGATTTTTCTCCTGTTTTCTTTTGAAAGTATTAGAGTTAATATATTTTTATTTAGCTCTGTTATCCATTTTAGGAGCTCTGGTAGCTTAGTGCCTAAGGCACTTGGCTGCTAACCAGAAGGGTGGCGGTTCAAACCCATCAGCCACTTCTCGGAAGGAAGGTTGGACAATCTACTTCCATAGTGATACTGTCTTGGAAACCCAAGGAGAGGTCGCTATGAGTTGGGTCCGACTTGACGGCACATAACAACAACAACATTATCCATTTTGAGTTAATTTTTGTGTAAGGTGTGAGGTTTAGGTACTTTTTTTTTTCAGTGTAGATATCCAATTAGGGCAGTGACTAATTTTTTTTTAATTACACCTTTTATTGATAGCCTGTGACCAGCTGTTAGATTAAAGAATGATATCAGCATCCCCTTTCCCTTCCTTGATTTCTTTCAGTTATTACATGCTCTTCACCTCTTGCCCCCCAAGTATATTCTCCTTCTCATTTCTGACACCAAAGATTAATCTTCCCTGTTTTGAGCTTTGTGTAAAGGAATCACACTGTATTGTACTATTGTTCAACATTTTGTTTGTGAGATTCATCTGAGTTGTAGCAGTAATTCTTTCATTTTTATCACTGCATATTATTCTACTGAATTAACATAACACATTTGATTCTGTTTGTAGATATTGAGCTTCTGCTTTAAAGCTATTCCAAGTACTGTTATGAACTTCCATGTACATACTTGGCTTTTGGTGAACATATATACACATGTCTCTAAGGTATATACAGTTGACCTTTCAACAATGTGGGGCCTCAGGGCACCGACCCCTCCTGCAATTGAAAATGTGTTTAACTTTTGACTTCACAAAGACTTAACTGCTAACAGCCTGCTGTTGAGCAAAAGCCTTACCAATAATATAAAGTCAGTTAACAGTAACTGTACAGTTACAAGATATTCACACAAAGACACTCAAACACAAACACAACAGGTACGTTTATTAACTGCATGGCATGATGATTATTTACTGTTCCTTAAAGAGAAGTGGGTCATCATAAAGCTCTTCATCCTTAGAATAGGCTGAGGAGGAAGAAGAGGTTTAGTCAAAATGTCTCAGGTGGTAGAGGCAGAAGAGGTGGAAGAGGTGGAAGGGAAGGCAGGAGGGGCAGGCACACTTGGTGTAACTTTATGGAAGTACATCATAATTTCTGTCTTGACTTT